TTCTAAACACGGGTTGAGGAGTAACAATATGTTGTACCTTTCATTTTGGGAGCTCAAAGAGTTTAAATAGTGCTTACATGTCACTAAGAGCAGAGAAGGGGATAACCTAGGGAGAGCAAAGGACAGGAAACGTGTGAACTGCAGTAGGAACTAGGAAAAAAGCCCTGATGTGCAACATGTGTTCTCCTGACTGAGAACACTGCACCCATTATAGTTGTAGGCTTCTAAGGTTGAAACAATGCAGAGAAGAGAGAAGGAAATTTCAGGTGATCACAAGTAATAAGAACTCTGTTCCTAAGTAGACAGGTAACCCAAGAAAAGTGTATATGTATGAAGAACGAGACTGGAAAGGACATGTAATGAATTAGAAGGAAAACTGTGATTAGTAAGAAGAGATTTTACCAAATGCCTTCAAAAAATATGAGTGAGCAAACAGCAACTACATTACTGTCTGGTAACAGGGGATAACACAAGAGAGATGACACTAGCCTTAAATATGAAAGCTCTGGATCTACATGTACCACAGAGCCTGACTTTGATTTGTGTTGGGTTAACAAGAAGCAGTGTCCAAAAGGGAGAGAATTGTGCTGGCGGATGGTTCATCCTCCTCCTCCTATTATTCCCTGTGCTTTTGATTTGTACAGCACTGTCTGGAACTGAAGTAACTAATTAAAGTCAGTTAGATACAATACATGCCCCAGTGCAAGAGGAAGCAGGAAGACAGGCTTACTTCATGGTATTTAAAATAGTAACCTTATTTCTAAGATTCTTATTTCCAAGAATTAGAAGAAAAAAAGCTTTTGTGATGTGATGCTGGTATATACACATACACTTTGATCATTATCAGAAATGGTTTCTGTTGGTACAGCAGGTAGAACTTGCAGTGCTTTTGAAATACACAATATACTGAAAAACACAAACATATCACAAGGAAAAAAAAAGATATACAACTGAATACAAGGGCAGCTTTCTGCAAAAGCTATTTCATACACTGTGTCACACAGCAATCAAGGATCCTGCCAACTCTTGAAGTGACAATAAGCTACCACAGAGACAACACAATCTGCTCATAGATTCATTTCCCTTTCTCCTAAAGCCTGGTGCTGCTTTAGAAAACAAAAATGCTGTGTAGTGAACTTAATCAAATGCTACTGGGAAGATTTTTGCTGTTCTTTTCTCCCCCCTATTCCTACTAAGAATGGGACCCTCCAGTGACCTAGGGCTGGCAAGTACCATTGGATCCCTAGGTGGTCATAGTGTGCAGATGCAGTCAAAATGAAAATTATCATCAGAATTTTACTGTTGTCACTGAAAATTACAGTATTTCCCTTTTCTAAAAGAGAGAATTAGTCATAGCCTATTCCTTTCATTTCTCTTTCAAGAAAAACCTTTTTCAGTCTCAGATTCTATAGCTGTGGGGAGAGAGTTGAGCAAGGGGAAAGTTTATTATTATTTTGGTGCACTGCATTAAATAGAAGTCAGAAAAACATAGAAAATAGTATCTATTGCAATCTGAGGCCTAAACATATTTGATAGTATATTCAACAGCTTTGCCTGTCTCACAGCCCTGGGCAAAACCATGCCCCTTTCCCTGCTGTTCCTTCATTTCATGCTATAATGCTTCCAATTCTCCTTTGAAAAAGAATTATGCACATTATCTATCTGTTGCACAGAATCTCCTTCCTGTGTCCACTCATAACCTTTGCAGATATTGCTCCACCATTATCAGTAAAAGCTTGAGTCATTTGGTTCAGAGAGGAAACAGCATCTGGGAAAAGTGCCTTTATGGAGAATTAAAAAAAGAAGGCAAGTTCCTCTTGCTAAATACTATCTAAACGGGTGGTGGGGAGCTGGAATAAAAAACAGAGGAAACAGTGTGCAGAATGAAGTTTTCTAGATTTGATTTTAATTTTTTTTTATTATGCTGGACAGTTTTGTCTTCACCGTTTCATTTAATTAATCAAATACAGTTCTATTTAGCTCAGCTGCATCTCTGAATGTGTCCTATTGACATTACCTTCTTGATGTTCCTTCACCACTTCAGATCGATGAACCTTCAAACAGTTCAGCTTTTCTTCCCCATTCCTGCTAACCACTCCTCTCTCCTACCCTCGTACAAAAAGGACTTTACTTTCTTCTCTTAATTTACTGAACAATCACATTTTGTCTCATGACAGGTCCTTCCTGACAGTCCCTTTTATGATACTTTGTAGAATTCAAATGAATGTGGAAAACACACAGATTGCTTAAGGATGACCTCAGAATTTTATGACTTCAGAACTGGTCCTTTACCTGATGTCAAAGTATTAAGCTCACTTTAGATTAACTACTCATAGGTGTGATCCTGACACTGGCCGAGTACCTCTAATCTCACAGAGCTCACACTTTCTGTGCATCCTCATCACTTCTCAAAGACCAGGTCAGGATAAAATCACTCACACTGCTTCCTTAACCAACCATGCATATTCACTGCGTTTTCCCCCACAAACCCATCTTTCCAACCACTGACATGTACTCAATGTATTAAACAAACTACATGAAAAAATCAGGATATTGAAACAAGAACCCTTTGAGAAAAGAGATGCACATTTACACAAGGATTTAAAATAAAAATTATTTCCTCATACACTGAGGAAACAGTGCAAAAACTAGACAGGGAGAATCCCACAGCCAGCAGGGACACTGACTAGTTACTAAGCACTGAAATCCCAGTGGGACTGTGCAGGCTCATCCCTGGATAGCACAAAGCACTGCTCAATAGTCTGACTTTGAATGATTAAGATTCATACCTCATGGACTTTTCTGCCCAGAGATGTGCTGTGTTAAATCCTGGGATGAAACCTATTCCTCAAAATGAAAACATGGAAAATTCCTGCTAAATGCCAAGTATGAAGCAGCCATGATTCAAAGGGACAACTTGAGCAGAAGAAGTGCCAAGGATGTCTGTTCTCTGGATTGATTTACAAACTAAGATTCTTCTAAACAATTAGACATTCCCCCTGCCTCATGTGAGCGGACAGTGAGCTGAGTTCAATGTATCTCATCGCCATCTGGAAACTCTACAGGCAAGGATATCTTCTCAATTGAGCTTTTGAATAGAATTAGTTTTCATCCAGCTGAAATCTTTGTTCCGAAGCTGTACAATCCCTGCTCTCCTTCTTCATAAGTCAGGTTTATGCCTTTTCCATGTGGTTTTGATATACTTGTACAAGTGGAGACCAAGGGAAAAACAGCCTAATGCCTCAAGGAAAGGACCCCCAAGATAAGAATTCATACAAAATATTATTCTCAACATCACCAGGTACTGTGTTTTGCATTGTTACTCTTCTTAGCTATGACCTTTCATAACTGATATCAGATGCTGCTTGCCTTATCCAACAGCCTGTACCATTGTTCAAGGCATGCATGCACATACATAACATTAATTTCTCTAGCCTATTAATAAAAGCAGAAGAAAATAACAATAGTAAATTGGGTACAGATTTATATCAATCTGGTTTTGCAGTCTACTTTCTTTTCTAAATTATACTTATGCATTTTCATTTTCAGTTTCTTTGAATATTAGTATTACTGACTAATTATCTTGTTACTATGATGGACACAATCCAAAATCCTACATAAAAGTATGTCATAATTTCAGTTCTCATTCTAAATTTTGTGGCTTGAGTCACAAGCGATTGAAGACTTTAACCAGCCTGCCCAAGAAAACCTGACTGCAAACGAAGTTATCTTTATTTTCTTTTCCCCATAAAGAGAAGGTTTAGTGCAGCATATTGCTCACAGAGATACACACAGCACAGTGGTTTGTTTTGGGCTGCTGCCATTCAGTTTCATGCTGCATCCCCATCTAGTGTCATTAATCTTTTACCACCAGGAACACAATTAATCATGGGTTTTGTTTGTTGGTTGGGTTTTTGGTTTTGTTTTTGGTTTTTTTTTTTTGTTTTGTTTTTTTTCCCAGAGGAAAAAGACAAAATCATAGTAGTTTTTATAGAGAACACTGCAAGGTACTCCATCAGTAACAGTAATTTTTCATCTCAGTGCACACTAGCATATTTGCTTACAGAAACCTGCTTGACTTTACAGTATACAAAAATGCAGTAATCTAAAATACATATAACCAATAGAAAGAACACATGAAGAAGCAGTCTGCTTAGTTGTGCTATATAAGGCAATAAATGTCCTTTTACTGATAGCTGGACCATAAATAAAGAACAGACAGGGTTGAGAAAATGGTGTTTATGTTATTTCAGAGGTTATTTTCAAGTGGAAACATTTTTCCATCTACCTCACAACACAAAATCTTTGCCTAAACTATGATGCAAGTTTTGATTCGAAACTTACTAAAACCAAAAATCTTACCAACTTCGCTGACAGTTTTACTTGAATTAGTGCATGTTTCTTGTGGATATAAAAAAAATAAAAAGTCTATTAAAGTATGTGAATTGATGCCATCCCTTCACTCCCAGCTTTACTCACACCCTAGGTCAGAAATGCCCACTGACAATTGTATAAAAACCTTACTCCATACTGTTTCAGCCTTTCAGCTCCGGGAACTTACTGGAGCTCAGCTCTCACTAAGGTCAATAAGAGTTCTGCCTGAATACAAATAATGATCCATTCACCTTCCACCCCTTCAAAATATGACATTTTCCACATGGATTCATTTACATCTTCATTGCTTTCCTTAGACATTTTATAACCTAGTAATTCTTTAAAATTAAATGTCACAAGCTATTCTATTTTTTCTTTTTTGTTTTTAAGAGACACACAGAAGACAGCTATAGACTGCCTCCCCTCTTTTTTTTTTTTTTTTTTTTTTTTAATCCATAAGGTAATTGGCTTTCTGGAGAACTAACTGAATTTTCCAAATTTAATTTTGAAAGATGCTCCATAATACCCATTATAGCAAACACTGTCCTGCAGATTTGATTAGTAGGCTCTCTGGACCTGCTTATTTCTGAATTGAAAGTGCAGTACAGCCTGGATAAATGAATTACCTGAGCAGCGGAACTTCTTGCTCTTGATCTGGCTGATTCGTTTGTTGGCAAGGCGACGCGGATTGCTGCATCGAGCGCCGCTGGTTTCTATCGGATTATCCTGCAGGTAATCAGCCAGCCACTTCAAATGGCAGTCGCACACAAATGGATTCTGAGCTAAATGTCTGCGAGAAGGATGGGATGTTTAATCAGAAGTGACCTGTGACACTGTACTCCATCACTGTTTTTCACAAACGCAAACCTGAAGAGTAGAGTAATTGAATAAGCTTCCAAAAACCCAGGCCTGGCGGAAACCACGCAGAGCTGCACATGAATGGGAGAATTCTGTGAGCTATCACATTTCGTAGCTCATTAAGCCTGCTGCAAGCCCTTTCTCAGAGGAAACAAAAATTAAGATAGCAAAGCCTGCTTTAAAGGACACAGACCTCCTGTCTGCAAAGTCCAGTGTTTTCTCCCGAGAGCCTGATACGCTGCCTTTAGAGAGAAATGCACCTTTTTAGATGCATCTGACCTGAAGATCATTTTGTATCCTGGTTTAAAAGAAATTTTATTGGCAAGCTGTTTCCTAGGGATCAAAATGTGAATTAGCAAAGTGCCTTGGATCTCTGGGCAAAGCCAGAAGTGATCCAGAGGTCTTTTCTCAAGAGTGAAATTGATATTTGCATATACTCATCATGTGTAATAGTATTCCCTATGTACGTATCTTTCCTAGAGCAAAAATTTTTATATTGGAGACTGAACTGTTTATGCAAGGTAGAACTTGACTCTATCCTTCACCAAAATTTGCACAACATATTTCCCACACAGTTGGAAATAGGTATTATAGCATTGATTTTAACTGGATATTTGGACTTCGTTAATAGAAATCTGCTGGAGTATCTTAGAGAGAACCAGCCTATCTCTGCTGATGTTATGATTCATTTTGCCTGACAAAGTTGAGCACTATATCAGGAGAGTTTGTCAGGTCTTTCGCAGAGCCTGATTCTGATCTCAGTTAAGCTAACTTGCACCAGTCCCTCTAGCTTCCATGGGAGCAGGACATGGCTCTTCAATAACTGCAAAGACAGTTTTTAAAAAGACAGATGTTTAAATTTGGTTTGGACAGAGGCGTAAAGTTATAGCCTCACAAAACTCTGCTCTGTTGCTGTTAGTGTGTTTTTTCCACCTGTAGAAACTTATTTTCTGTTTGCACTTATATTTATGAACTGTCACTTAACAGAGTAAGTATAAAATACAGCAGGGCAAGGGCTGTCAAGGAGTGGGAAGTGAAAGCACACATAGCAGAAAGTGCCTGAAGAAACTAGAGATTACTGTTGTAGTAGAGCCATTTCTGGTGTGAAAGGTCCAAAGAACAAACAAGCGTATAGAGACAGGATATGGGACTGGTTTTGTAGCTCTAGAAAAAAGGCAGAAAATGTCAATCATGTGGAGTACTAAAAATGGTAGAATGAATCAGAACACTTAATGAAAAAGTGTCTCAGTGTGAAGCAACAAGTCCATTCTAAATAACAGCCACCAGGAGTGCCAATAAAACCCCATGGAAACCAAGGTGAAATTTTTATGCCTTGAGGGTGTTGCCTGTTGTTTAACTTGACAAATATTATATACCTCTGTGAATGACCCTTCTCTGTCACCTTTGTTTACATTATATATCTATGTACATAGCATGTTGCAGCAGAAGAAAGCACAATAGAGGTGGTAGGGCAGGACTGAAGGGTTTGTACATGACTGTTCTAATGCCTTAATGGTTTGCAGCAATACAAACTGGCCAGAATCTGTTGGAAATGAAGGTTATGCTTGTGGCTGCCTGCGAAGGTAGCAGGTACCCTGCGGCTAGAAATCATCCCTATAAGTTAATTTTTATATGAATCAAAACATTCATAGAACTAATTTTGCCAATGCATTTCCAGTATTGTAATATCTATGTGCATGTGTATATATACATTTTCATTACTATAGTATGCGTATGTATATATATATATATAACATGCATATATAATCCAGAATGTGTCTGTTCAAGTAAGGAGAGATGCCAACTCACTTGTTCATTAAAAACTGTTAGGCAATGGTTAGGCTGTTCATGTATTGTACTGAACTTAATATACTTATGATATCTATATTACTATGGGCAGGCTGTATCGATAGTTGGCTGTTCTAAATTTATGCAATACTTTTCTTTCTTGCTCCTTTTATTTCTGGCAGAAAAGGAGGAGCTACTACGTTGGGGTCTCTTCCAAATTGCCTTAACATCAGATGCAACGCCTTTGCAAAGACAGGCAATATCTTTGGGGGGGAAAAGAGAGAGCTGTCATTTATGATATGGCTGCATACTCACAGAGTCTGGATCGATCGGAGAGGTGCAAAGAGGCCCTTGCTGATGGTCTGCAGTTTGTTGTCATAAAGAGATAGGAGTTTGAGATTATGCAGACCTTGGAACGTGTTTACCCTCAGGCAGTTGATCTTATTGGCATTGAGAAGCCTGAAAACAGAGGAGAGGTTTATAATTCATTAATCTTGTAATAATCAGATAAAGATAAACTGAACTTTGGGGTTAAATCTAAAAAATATTAACCCTCTCACCAAATCCAACCCACATTTAAAGATCTTCATTTGCCTGTTATACTAAAAAGGTGAAAAAACCACAGTCAACACTAATACTCTCATAGCCAGAGAATATATAGACATATAACAGGGCTAGCTATCTTAAAATACTTAAAAGATTTTTTTTTGTATGCTCAGCCCCACCTCCCATTTGTTCAAAATTCTACACAAATATTTAAAGAAATCACCAGCTTAATATACATAGAAATGGCAAATACTCCCTGCCTTGCTATTTCATGCACACACTCATACACAAAGTCCACAATGAGAAGAACCTTTTTTTTTCCATTTTTCACTACCAGCAGCTGTCTTAAGTCTAAATGAAATTCTGGAAGTTTGACATCTTTTGACAAACAGTGCAGGGTTAATTTGATCATTGGAGGAAGGAAAACATGATTCTCCTCAGAGACAAGAAGAGAGAAGTGTCGGGTCTGGACTAAAACTTACTGAAAGGCAGGCTCTCTTTATACCTAGGGATAGTCAAGTAGTGGACCAGGTTGCTCAGAGTTGTACGGTCTCCATTGTTGGAGGTTTTCAAGATGATATGGAATAAATCCACGAGCAACCTGCTCTGACCTAATAAGGTGGCTCTGTTTTGAGCACATGCTCTCCAGTCTCATCAGCTAGCGATCACCTGAGGCCTCTTCCAACTTCCACTGCCCTACAATTCTATGAACATACTTCATTCCAGTTACGCCAGATTCTTGTGCAGTTGTGGAAAAGCAGGAGAAAGAAAAGTTACATCCCTTCTTAATATGTATTTTGCACATCTACACAGAGCCAGCTGGCAGAACTAATCAGTTCAGCCAGAAGAACTTGGACAGTACTTGTGCAAGTTTTCTTAAATTATCCAGTCAGAGTTCTGTCACGTAGAACAAGTATATACAATCCCAACAAGCTGGATCTCCCTCTGAGACAATCAAACATGAGAACACTTAAATTGTCATCGTCATCTGCATATGTGGTATTTTACACTTAGAAGGAAAATAGGCAGGAAATGACCTATTCTTACAAAAGCCAAAATCCACATCTTTTGACTCCTATTAGCCTGAGAAAAATGGTAAACTGCAAACAATATATGCTGTTCGCTCAGTTCTCTTGGTCACAAAATTCTTGCTACTTTGTCAATGAGTTTGAAGGGCTTAATATTGCAACATTGTGGCTCTCCATGAGGCACTGTGCTAATACTAAGCGAGAAGACCAATGTGTTTACAGGTAAAAAGGAAAAGACATCCTCCACTCCTCAGTAAGCAAACACACCACCTTAAACACACCTCTCAGCATAGGGAGCTTCCATTTTCAACAACCCGCACATACACCACTATAGACAACAGGGAAACCTACCAGGGAATAAATGCATGCTTGCCAGCTGTACATGAGGCTTTTCTTTTATTCCAAAAAATAACTTCAGAAGGTGCTTCCTCTGCATAGCAGCCTGCCTTTGCTTTGCTGAAACCTTTGGAACACTGTACACTCATTACAGTTCTTTGCTCCTACTGTCATTTTGGCAGAGCCTTTTTACTGCAGTAAATGGCTACAGTAATTGTGATGCATAAAAGATGGACACATACTTGACTAGGGCCCTTTTTGCAAGGAGAGCAGGAAAGCAGTGCTTTGCAATGAGAGGGTGTCAGTGCAGAACTCACCTTCCTAGCCTACAGAAAAGACAATATCAATTTACCTGAATTTTCTCCTATATATGTTGCAGAAAACAAAGTTTGATATTAGATAAGAGAAAGTCCCATCGAAGGCAGTGATGGATAAATGAGGTTACATTTTTGCATGAACTAATAGCTAAAATAATTTTATGAAATCATAAGCAGCACCAGTATGACCTCTCTGGTATCTGTACTTCTGTGACTGATAATTATGTGACACCTCATCCACACTCCTGTTGACTCCACCAGAAGTAACAGGGTAATTTTCGTGTTAGGCTACAGAAACAGTTACTCCCACGCATTTGAATTCTGAGATTTTACTCCAATGGCAAACATCAATGTCATTTCTTAATACTTGCTTCTTATAGCCATTTGTATGTCCAAGCCAAAGCAATCTTCATTCTTTCTTGGTTCTTGTGCATTATGCATTTCTCTTTCAACCTTGTACATTACCTTTTCCATAAAGAACAGGTTAACAAGCTGTTAGAAGGCAGAATCAGCTACTGAGTTTTGAACAATAACCCCAGACATGCACTTCGACATTACAAATCCTTTGATTTCTACACCCTGCCCTTGTGCACTGGTCCCACACTGCTTTTAGATAATGCACTTCAGTTTAGATTGGATATTCCATGACAGAGGCTTGGTACCTAAGTTATGCAGGAAGAAAACAGAAAGCAAGTACCGATTTATTTTGCCAGATGCTATTTTTTTTCTACTATCATAGTAATATTTTACGTTGCAAGCAGTAGTTGTAACAAAGCATAAAGCAAAAATGAAAATAATCCCAGTAATAAGACAATTTACGACTGAACTACAGTTTATTTATATATGTGGACAACCGGCATGTCTTTTTGTGACACTTAAAAAGTGCACACACAGCAGAGCTGCGTTGTGCAGATGCTATTCACTCCTGTGCAAAGAGTGGGCTTGAAGTCTAACCATCATTGATCCCACTTACTACACCCTCAGAGCAAAGCTGACCTAGAACTGCAGTGAATACACAGGATTTGAATTCATTCTCTGATTAGTTTCAACAAAACATGAATAAACCCCATGCTGAAAATTATAATTTACAACCTGATGAGTTTTTCTGGCATGAATTCTCAATGATTACATTCATGGTGATATAATCTTTGACATTTCTGTAAGAGGCAAATACCAAAAATGAGAGAAACTAGTCCTATATATAGCCACAAACACAGAGGCACACTCTCCTTTAAGCATTGGAGAAGGTAATTTGGAACAGCAAAGCGCCTGTGCAGACTGTTTAGATGTGGGAATTCAGGTACTGCACAGCTTTTTGGAGGTGACAACACCTATTCTGTATATCACCTATGCAATATGTATGCAGTACCTAAATCTAAAGAGGACAGATAGTGTGCTCAACAGTAATACAGATGTGGACATCCCTGGTGGATCATGAGATAGATTAGTGTCCTATTTCTGATCAGAATTGGTGAGAAAGCGGGGAGGCGGGGGCAGGGGGGGAAGTGAAAAACTGAGAAAACAGAACCCCTAAAAATTTTTTCCTCTTACTTCATGTGAGTTAGAGGATGACTTTTGGCCAGAAGCATCAAGATCTATATTCCTTTCAAAATTCTGATTTATTTAAAAATATCTCCTCTATGCTAATTCCCCTATATAAATTCCAATTCTTCGCTTAATCTTTCTTCACTATCACAGCCCCCTAATAGCATCTAATTATTAATTAGGTATACAAGGCTGGACTCACATGCAGCTAAAAATGGTTATAAGAATTTTTTTTTAAACTAACACAAAGGCAGATGAGAAAAACATATTCTAGGAAGCAGAAACACTAATCTTCCTTAAACATCGAACCAAGCTGTAAAATATACTAAGGGTTCCTTTTATTGGACTCACAACAAAAGAAGGGACAATATTAAGAGTTGAGCCTTATTTTAGCAAGAATTACATGGTATTTATTTTGTACCAATTTATGGTGAAAGTAAATTCCACTAATTTTCCTATTTTGTTATCAGCTTGATTGGATGAGATTTACACACGGCCTCCAGATGTGGTGCAGCATTCAAAAAGGAGGTTAAAAATTCAAGTAGAAATAAAACCGCCTGCAAACCAGAGGGATGAGGGATTATTAACTCAAATCTCCATTTTCATCCCTCTGGATATGTTAAAAACATGAAGAAATCTCTTGCAAGTCTAGGACCACCACAGAATACAGGAGAACGGTTAAAGACCTTGTGGTTTACACACCATTGAAAGCAATGAGCAGAACAGAGCAGTATTACAATTCCATGAACCCATTTCCTGAAGAAGTGAATTTGTCCACACACATTGAAATAATAATGTGTTTCAGCTAAGCCCTTTGAATGAATGTATACTGAATTGGCACTGTAATGGTGTCAGATGCTCATGAGCACCATCTGCATAATTAAGATGGTCCCATAATTGAATTATATGCCCAAGCACAGTTTCAAGTGATTAACATTTAAATAACATTTTGAACTCCAACCTCAAAATGATTGAAAAATTTGTTTTTTTAAGAGCAAGTGGGGATGTTTATATGGCTTTTACCATTAGCAGTGTCTGTATTTTCAGCTCAGTGAAGACAAGTAATCAAACTATCAGCAAATAACTACATAACTCAGAGAACGAAACAGCAGCCTAGCAACCTTAACAGATGCTGGAGACTTCAGGTTGATTTCTGTTGCTACAGGATGGACCAAAAATCATCCTAGGGACATCAATGAGCCACAAGTAGTGTCAGGAAGAAAAGCTGCACAGAGCCACTGGAAAACTTCTCTTCCTCTAGCTTTGTGTTTTGACAGAGATGACAACATGATGAGAATGAAAATGTTCGGCATCCCATTAACTGGCTGGCACATCCCGCATGCCAGACTCCACTGGGGAAAATGAGAGCTCACCAGAAAAAGGCAGATGTAAGCTGCATGGGAGACTTGTACAGGAGAACTGGGTTAGAGTTTTTCATGGGTAACAGCAGAATACAAATTGAATATACATGACTTTAATAGAATATCAATAGTCAAAGGCTTCACCTACATTCAAAGGCACTATGGGGCAGCAAAGAAAGGACTCTTGGCAGAAAGCATTCCATAGGATATAGAATACCTGTTATAAAAAGTCAAAAACTTTTCAGCATTTTCTCTGGAAATGTATAGGGAATCAAATATCATTTTTGACTTAACACAACTAATCACAGGAGAAGAGCTGAAGTGTA